ACACCAAAAGCCAAGAACGTCAGCCCAGCTGTTCAGGGTGTCAGATGGTTTTGGGGGGGGGGCGGACACCCTTGATTTCTTTTTAAGATTCACAGCTAAGTGGAATACATTTACCAGGGAAGCTTGCTGTAAGCCCCACAGTCCTCTTCTGGGACTTCAGAATGAGAAATAGGAATGAAAGGTGAGGTGTGCACCTGTCCTGACTCTAGAACCAACAAGGGCCACCGTGGCCTGGTGCAAGAAAAGATGCTGTGATATAAAACCCAGGCGGCTGCAGGATGAGCTCTGTTTATCTGGCTTCTATTTGCTGAGTAGGTGCGAGCCGGTTAAACGCAGTTTTCCCCTCTCCAAGGCTGCCTGACGGCCTAGAGGACACAGGGGTTTGTAGGGACGTCTGGGAGCTCCACAAGCCCAGCTGCACCTGTCCAGATGTTCCCTCTCCGGGAGGGGAGGTCAGCCAGGCCAAAGCCGAGGGCGGCTCTGCTCGGGCCCAGAGGCTAGGCCCTAGGGGCTCTGGAAGAGTGGGTGTCCGGGGGGCTTCCTCTGACTTAGTTTCCCCTTCCGTGGGGGTCTTAGCTCTCCTTCCCCTGACAGCCCCTTTCTGCCCTTCCAGCCCCGCAGGGCCTCGGCGCTGGGGTTCCAGCAGCTTCCCCGGCAGATCGGCAAGTGCGGGCGGCTGCGCCCCCAGCCCCCCCGGTGGGCGTGGCCGCCCCGGACCCCAAGTTCCCGGTGGCCGGCAGGCACAAAGGCGGCGTCAGGGCGGGGCCCGCTGCGAGGGCTGCGGCCTGCCCGACTGCGCCCTGCCCTCCGCCTGGGCGGCCTTGGCCCGGGGACCAGCTGCGGGGCCCCGGCCGCGGGCCCCGCCCTTGCAGCCTCGCCCGGGGCCCGCATCCGCCCCGCCGCGAGAGCCCCGGAGCCCGCAGCCGCCCGCGTGCAGCTCCAGGGTCGGGCTGGGGGTGGGCGTGGCCCGCGAGGCCCCGCCCCCGCCCCTCCACGCGCCCCCCGCCCGGGCCGCGCGGCGCCGGCCGGCGGTGCGGTCGCGCGCTCGCCGCCAGCGAAGCCATTGGCTCGGCGGAGTCACCCCACGCGGGGCCGCCGCGGCGGCTTCCTCGGATTGGCGCGCGCGCGCGCGGGCGGGCGGGCGTGTGCGGGCCGCCCGGCCTTGAACCGAAGCCCCTCCGTCTCGGGCTGCGCCCCCTCCCCACGCCCCGAACGACGACCCCGCCATTGTCCTTGTGTTGCGCATGCTGCCTCCGGGACGCCGCTCCCAATTCCCCCCTTTCCCGTCCCCCCCTCCCGCAGTCTCGGCCCAAAGAAAGGGCGCGAAAGGCGCGCGCCCCGCGCGGGCGCACGCACCGACCGCCGCCCTCCGCCGCACACTGCAGCATTTCGCGCTCTGGCGCCGCGCCCGCCCCTCCGGCCTCATTTGCATATCCCACGATCGTGGCCAATCAGGGAGCGTCTCTCCCGAAGCGGATGGCTTTTGCCTGAGAGGAAAGGGAGTGGCTGGCGGCGCATGCGCCGCGGTGGCAGCCTGGAACCGAGGCTTTTATTGCTGTAGTTTATTTCCACCCCCTTCCCTCCCGTTCTCTCTCTCCCTCCCTCTCTCTCTTTTTCCGCCCTAGCTAGGGCTGTGTTGGAGGAGAGGAAGAAAGGGAGCCCGCGGGCTGCGTTTGTCCCTGACGCTCTGAGCTCTGCGAGCCGCCAGGCCGGCCCTGCACACACACAATCCGAGCCTCTCCGGCAATCGCGTTTGCTCCTTGAGGCTGCCCTCTGCAAATTAATTTTTTTTTCCCAGGAGAGACATGTCTTATCAGGGGAAGAAAAACATCCCACGCATCACGGTGAGTTCCGGGGCGCGGGGAGCCCGCGCGGGCCCGCAGCCTTGCGGGGCTCCGGACAGCTAACGATCTTGCCTTTTGTGATTTTTGGGAACCCGACTTTCGTTTCATCTTCCTCCTTTCCTTTTCTATTCTGTGCGTTGCCAAGGAAGCCGGTGAGGGCGGCGGCAGCGCCCCCCCCCCCCCGCGGGGCGCCGGTGTGCGGGGAGCGGGGCTCGGGGCTGGGGGCGGCCGCATCCGCGCGCCCGGCCCGCGGCGCCCTTTCATTGTGGCGGGCGCGGGGGATGCTGCGCCCAGGCCAATGGATGCCCGCTGGAGCGTGCGCGGCGCGGGCTCCGACCCCGGGCCGACGGGGAGGACGGGGTCCTGCGCCCGGTCTTCCGCCCCCACCCGGCAGGGCTTCCCGGAGCCGCCTCCCCGCGGCTGCAGAGTCTGGAAGGCGCCGTTTCAGCCCGAGGCGCCGTGACAGCCGAGGGATGCTGGGCCGGGCCGGGCCGGGCCGGGGGGCGCGGGGATGTGCGGGGGGGGGGCGGCCCGCGCCGGGGGGGGGGTTGTGGACCGAGGACAGGTTATTTTTCGGGGGGCGGGGTGGGGAGCCCCGGGTTTTTCCGGCGCAGAGCCGGCGTCTCCCGCGAGGCGATGGTGCGTGTGGCGCATACAAAGCGGGCTGGGAGGTGGCGCTGGGCACCGGCGCGCCGGCCCCGGGTAATGGCGCAGGGCGACGCGCCGAGCAGATGGCTTCGGCCGGCCCCGGGAAGACAATGATCGCCGCGGCCCGAGGTGCGGGGCGCCGCGCCGGGGCCTGCGGTCGGTCAGTCGCTGGCTCGTCATCCCTGGAAAACATCCGAGAGAGGGGGGCATTGGCGGATGCTCTTGGAGATGGGGGCCGGTCCCCGCGCCCACCCCCTCTCCATCTTTCCTCGGAAAACAAAACAACCCTCCCCTTGGCTCCACATCTCCGCACCCTCGACGGGAATCCCTGGGCGGGCGGCCGCCGGGGGCCTGCATTGTTATGTAATCCGTGCGGATCCCGGGTGGCTCCGCGGCCGCGCGGGGCTGGGCGCCGGGGGCGCGCGCCCGGGGTTCTGCCGGTGTCTCCGGGCACCCGGGCTTCCCCTCGGCGCCCGAGGACACACCCATCCGCAGGGAGCTGCGGGAACTCACGCGCGGGGGAGGGGGCGTGTGCGCCGCGTCTCCGGCCCCGATCCGGGCGCGGGGGGGGGGGGCGGGGTAGCTGGCTTCCCTTTTTTCCCCTCTTATGGCTGTGAGATGTTTAACCGCGTATTTATTAGCCTCGGTTTGGTTGGACCAAGGGTTTCGTTTTGATGTGTCCATATATGCATACCGTGTATCCCAGCTCTGTCTCCAGGTCCCCAAGGACCGGGTCCCCTGCGGGAGAGCCATCCTGCTGTGTCCCCTGGAGGGGAGAAGGAGACCGGGGAGGGGGGGTTGGGGTGGGGGTCAGGTGCTGTTGGGATCCTCGGATGATTTGCTGTCCTCCTGGATAAGCCAGGCAGTTTCATTTTGACAGGGTGGGGAGAAAAAAAAAATAGGCAAACAATGATCAACAAGCCCACTTTTTACAACAGCGCCCCCTCCACTCAAAAACCAAATCCGGTTGCATTATCCTAGGTCCTGTAGTCTGCCTTTCCTCCCTCCCTTCTTCCCTCCCTCCCTCTCCCTCTCCCTCTCTCCATCACCACGGGCAGCCTCTTATGTAAGAAGCCTTCTAGAAGGTACTAACTAGAGGGATCCAGCTCTGATGTTTTGTTTTTGTCTTGCATCCTGAAGCCGGAGGGGATTCAGGGTGATGGCAGGGCAGGGAACCACAGTGAGGGAGGGTGCTGGTGGGGAAGGGCAGGGCAGGGCAGGGCATCTCCTTGTTCAACCTCTCTCAGCCTCAGTTTTCCTACAGGTCAAGGGAGTAGAATCTTGCCCACCCCCACAAATCACCCCCCCCCCCATCTCCAAATAGTGTGGTGAGTGGGAATCATTAAGGATTTTTACATTTATTCTGGTGCAGGAATTGTTGAATTTGCATCTAGCCATTTCAAGATGAAAGATCCCCCCCTCCGTATATGAAATGAATATGGTCGTATACTTTTTAGTTTATCAGAGAATAATAAATACTTTCCAAACCTAGGTGCGTGTGCATTTATGTGCAAGTGTATCTTCTTTTTCTTTGTAGTAGCGTGCATGTGTGTATATATATATGTATATATATATATATATATATATATCTGGAAGATTTTCTGATTTTTCTGGGTAACTGCTAAATTTAAAAAGCCCTTGCTGAGAATATTAGTAAGCTCTTCATTCACCACTGTTCAGATGAATGACACCCTTTCAAAGGTTTTTGTAGAGTAAAAGTAAAATAAAGTAAGGTTCCCCATGTGAAGATTAAATCTGGTCTGACATAATGTAGGCACAAGTTCACCGACACCGGCTATTCACATTCCATTCCATCAGAGTGTTGGGATAGCCACAAGTCATGATAGCATTTCAGTGGCATTCTTGGCCCTCCCTCCCTCAAAAGCTGCCTGTCCTTTATTTATTTATTTTTCTTACACCAATATGAAGTTAAAATAGAAGAGCATCAACAGTCTATAACCATGTTAAGTTGTAAAGTTTGCCAGCTCATGTATCACAGAACCTGATTAACTGCTTAGTTAAAATGGTCTATTTCTTGTACACTTGGGCTGATTTACCCCAAGAGTAAATGCAAATGTAACAGGACATAGTGAATCGAAGCCTTGTTATGGTTGAGCCAATGTGTTTGTGTGGGATATGCCATGACAACAGACTTTGGTCAGTTTCCCCCACACAGACAGTGCCAGGATATGACTTGCCTTCATGTGGGTGGAATTTTTGTTTTTTTTAAATGAGATGTAGCCAAAAGTCATTTAAGGGGTATATTGTCTTTTTCTTTTTTTCTTTGACTTTCAGGTCTGAGGTGTCATTGAAAGAAGTGGTTCATTTATCTAGGATGAGTTTGGCCCATTGACGAGCAGTTGGCTGCTTACAGGTTCACTGGGTAGAACAACCTTTCTGAAACTGATTTTGAGCATCACGTTTGAATGAGGTGCCCGAGCTCACTTAGAGCTTGTGTTTCTCCTGGGCCATTTATGTGTGGTGACCTTACTGCCTGTTTATTTTCAGAGTGATCGTCTTCTGATCAAGGGAGGGAAGATAGTGAATGATGACCAGTCCTTCTATGCAGACATATACATGGAAGATGGGCTGATCAAGTAAGTAACACAGTAGTGCACGGTTCTGCACACGTTCCAGTGTTCCCATGCGCACCTCACACATGTAGTCTCAAGCTTACTGGGGTAACCAGAGTCAATAACTTTGGGCTGGAGACATGGATTCATTGAAAAATCTCTGTGTTGGATCCTTAGCACATATCCTGTGCAGAGAGTTCGCACGTGCATGTGAGTGACACACACACACACACACACACACACACACACACACACACACACACACACACACACACACACACGGTGATCTTCTTAGTACCGGGGCTTGAACTCAGGTTTGTCTCTGGCACTCTTCCAGTTGGGCCGTACCTTTACTTCTGGCTTTTTTGGGTGATTACTTTGGAGATCAGGATCCTCATGGATTTTTTTCCAGGAGACTGGAACCCTGATCTTCTAATCTCAAACCTCTGAGTAGCTAGGATTATAGGTATGAGCAGCTCGCCTTAGTATCTGTTTTAAGCCCACTTTGATTGGTGGTTATTAGTGAGTTTGGTAATTCAGGCTTAGGGGATTCAAAGTCACAGTTACCTCTATACCCATGCATTATGTGTTTAGCTGTTTTTATGAGGTGACATGTTACCTTTTGTTGCCAGCTCAGATACTTGGTGTGTGATATGCTGAGTGTCTGGAAAGTTTTCCTAGAATGGAGTTGCTTGGGAGAGATTGCCCAATCAAAGGACCCAAACATAGCAGGCAGCATCTCTGGTGAAGACACCCATCTGCCTCCTTTATTAGGAATCTAAGTTGGAAGGGCCACAGAAGGACACTGAGTTAATTACCAAGTAACACAAATTGCTGCCTAATCTCAGGGGATTTTAGGTTCCATTCTTCTAAGTGGCAATTGGCACAAATAAGGCTGCTCTGGTGTTGCTTGTGTATTAGGTTATAAAGGAGAGAGGGCAGTTAGGAGTATTTGGGGACTTAAGAGGGTTAAATGAACCAGTTGTATTTTTGTGCTCTTTCCACTGGGCCAGGCTATGGAGAAAGGGCACATCTGCTTAAAGACAAACACTGCAGCGAATGACATCTTTTAAGTGAACAGCATTCATGAAGTGTTTGCAGCACACCAATTCTGAGGAGTGGAAAACTGGAGTGGCTCTCGGTTGCCTGGAAGCTCACACCCTGATTTATGAAGCTAAAATAGGACTTAGCATTCCCACATTGAATGTTTTCTCCATGTGGCTTTGCTTGTGACGGGTCTCAGCTGTAGGCTTTCAAACGCCATGACTGTCTTCTTCCATTTCCTCTGCCAGCTACAGGACAGCATGGTCTAGCTGGCAAAGGGACACTGACCTGGAAGGAAGGGGTCAGGACTACGCTGTTGTTCAGAGTCATTTGCCTTAGGACTTCTCCAACTCCTTCTTAGCTCATTTTCTCTTTTTGGTGCTGGTACTTGGGCTTGAACTCAGGGCCTAGTGCTTTTGCTTGGCTTTTTTTTTTTTTTTGCCGGTCATGGGGCCTGAACTCTGGGCCTGGACACTGTCCCTCAGCAATTCAGCTCAAGACTAGTACTCTTCCATTTGAGCCACAGCGCCACTTCCAGCTTTTTCTGCTTAATTCGTGCTGAGGAATCCAACCCAGGGCCTCATGCATGCAAGGCAAGCACTCTACCACTGAGCCAACTTCCTAGCCTTGCTTGGCTTTTTTGCTTAAGGCTGGTGCGCTACCACTTGAGCCACAGCTCCACTTCTATAGCTTTTTTTTCCCCCAGAGCTAAGGACCAAACTCAGGACCTTGGCACTCGCCAGACAGGCACTCTTCCGCTGAGCTAAATCCCCAGCCCAAATAGCTCCATTTTTAGTGTTTTGCTGTTTAATTAGAGGTAAAAGTCTCATGGGCTTTTCTGCCTGGGCTGGCTTCAAACTGTGATCCTCAGATCTCAGCCTTTTGAGTAGCTAGGATTACAAATGTGAGCCACCAGAACCCAGCTTTCATAAAAGTTGATAGAAATATGTCAGAAAATTAATATTATTATTTTTTGGGGGCGGGCTTGAACTCAGGGCCTGGGCACTGTCCCTGAATTTTTTTTGCTCAAGGCTAGCACTCTACTACTTGAGCCACAGTGGCTTTTTCTGTGTATGTGGTACTGAGAAAGTGAACCCAGAGTTTCATGCATGCTAAGCAAGCACTCTGCCACTAAGCTACATTCCCAGTCCAGAAAATTATTTTTAAACTTTGGAAATGAGCCAGATACTGGTGGCTCACACCTAGCTACTCAGGAGGCTGAGATCTGAGGATCACAGTTTGAAGCCAGCCTGAACAGGAAAGTCTGTGAGACCTTTATCTCAGGTAAACTACTCAGAAAAATCCAGAAGTGGCATTGTGACTCAAGTGGTATAGCGCTAGCCTTGAGCACAGAGAGGCTTAGGGACAGCTCCCAGGCCTGGAGTTCAAGTCCCAGGACTGGCAAAAAAAAAAAAAAAAAAATGGAGCTGGGCGCCGGTGGCTCACGCCTGTAATCCTAGCTATTCAGAAGGCTGAGATATGAGTATCCCGGTTCAAAGCCAGCCCGGGCAGGAAAGACCGTGAGACTCCTGTCTCCAATAAACCACTAGAAAACCGGAAGTGGCGCTGTAGCTCAAGTGGTAGAGTGCTCACCTTGAGCTGAAGAGCTGAGGGGCAGCGCCCAGGCCCAGAGTTCAAGCCCCATGACCGACAAAAAAAAAGATCTTGTTCAACACATGATGATTATTTATTTTTCTGCCTTTATTGTTGGAATTGTATAGCACCTGCTTCTAAGCTTTGAAATCATTACAATATAGTGCTTACTTTTGTGTGTGTGTGTGTGTGTGTGTGTGTGTGTGTGTATATGTATGTTTCTTCCCTCCGCCCTTCCACATGTCTTTCCCTCTGTTGAAAAGAATTTGGTAAAACCCATGTTGGGAAAGTGCAGTTAGGTCTGATGTAGATTGCTGTTGGAAAGTTAGTTCAGTGGTTTGTGTTTTAAGATGGTGTAGTGGCATTTTATAGCAATATCTTGGGGCCTGGATATCATTTGATTTGGGGGGCTGCTGATAGCTAATCTTCAATTGGTCGCCTGATTCCTTATGTAGATTGTGCTTTCTGCACACCCTCTTACTTGGTGAGGAGCAGATAAAGTATAGCAATGATCCAGAAAGTTTGCTGCCTGCCCTGGAGGACAGTTTGTAGCTTAGGGAAAATAGCTGTTAGATGGCATCCAATTCCACATTTCACTCACTGTCTGTCTGACTCATTCTGTCTATTTAGGCAAATAGGAGAAAACCTGATCGTGCCAGGAGGGGTGAAGACCATCGAAGCCCACTCCAGAATGGTGATCCCTGGGGGAATCGACGTGCACACTCGTTTCCAGATGCCTGAGCAGGGGATGACATCTGCCGATGACTTCTTCCAGGGGACCAAGGCTGCCCTGGCTGGAGGAACCACCATGATCAGTAAGAGGCTCGGAACCATTCCTGTGGTACCAGGGACCCATGCCTGTGGTAGTGAACGTGGGTGATTGGGTTGGACCTGCCAAACAAGGGGTCTGGCTCGGGAAGGTATTTCTCTTATCTCCTGATCCCTGTTTGCTGTCAGATTTGGGATTTTTTTTCCCACCTGAACTTGAGAACATGGTTCTCGGGCATTTTGGAAGGATAAAAGGAATGGTTTTTTGCTTTCTCTGCTTGAGGACTCTGGTTTTACTTTGACCTTGAAATTGTTCCAGTGTGAAAACACTGTCATCTTCGGAGTCAATTTTGAGCCTTCCTTCGTTAACTATTTTCCTTAGGGTGCTTCTTAGAATGAGGATGGGGGCACCAAATGAAATTTTGAGCCATTATTAATCTGTAATCTGGTGAGAGGAAAATCACAGCCTTGGTTGGACACTGAGAAGAACCAGACATCTTGGAGGCTTCCTCCACCTCCCCCCACCATGTAAAATTTGACACCCTTCACCTATTGCCCCAAGGAATTTGTGTTGTTTGGGCACATCGAAAGGCTATTCACTGGATTCAGGTCCGAGGATGCCTTGTGACAACTGCCATTTTTGTTCAGAAGAGTGGTCTAGCTACGTAGTGGCCCTGTAGGTACGTATATTGGAAAGCAGATTCTGTCTAAGAGTGAAGGTCAGCATAGCAGCTGACAAATCTAATGAGCTTGCGGTGGCTCAGAAGAGGGTCTGAGGAGGAACCTGGCGGTTTCTGCCTCAGAGAAGATTGCATCACTAGGTGATTCTCCATGACAGTCTGTGTCCTCTTGCTTCGGGGTCTGTCTGGATGTTTCTTTCCTGTCTTCCATGGGGAACATTGCTGTCTCCACACCCTCCCTGGCATTGTCCTCGTCTGGTCTTAGGGGTTGAAGTATCTAAGCCGGCTTCACTGTCACTTCCACACAGATCCCCAGGTTGGAGCCTTCCCTCCTCTGTCTTGCTCCAGGCATTGCTTTCCAGCCTGGTCTGTACAGTTTTCAAGGGATCCTTTCTGTACCCCCGGGCATTCCTACTGCTTGACCTGTTGCTCTGGACTAGGCCCAAGTGTGCATTTCCTCTCTGCCTCCAGGGCAAGCCACCAAGTAGTATCTGAGCTAGCAAGGCACACACTGCTCACTGGTAGATGGCAGGCCAAGTCAGGTGGTCAGAGCCTCAGCTCTGCATGCAGGCAGATGCCCACAGAGCCATGCATTGGTCCCCGAGGGTCAGTGTGCCACGAACAATGTGACATCTATCTATTGTTGGAGGGATACCCTAGAGGGAACCCTCCAGTGGGGAATACCTTTACCTAAAAGTTAGGAGACTGGAGAGAGCTCAGGTACCTTCCAGTACCATCTTGCTGTCTGGCCTTGGCCAGGTCACCTCGCTTCTCGGGGCCTTAGTGGCTCATCCGCATGGTGAAGGAATCTCTAGCTGACAGGAAGTTTTTCTAGGCTTCCCAGCTTCCTCTGCTTTGAGCTCCAAGAGAGAGAGAGATTGCCTCTAGTCACATGGTCTTTGCTCAGCCCCTGTGGGCAGAAGTGTGTCCTCTTACACTTACTCAAGGGGCTTCTGCTGGCATTTTCTCCCATCGTGCCTTTCTGCCAGGCATCCTGTCTCCCTGTGTACGTCCTGGGCTTTAATGCCTTGCTCTATTTCTTGCCTCTTCCTGCCCTCCCCTGCCGTGGGACTGTATCCCTTCTTGCTGCTTGGTTTCCCTTTGGCCTTCTCCCTCGGAGGCCAGGGGCTTCCCTCTGTTCACCACAGTGGTCCCCCAGGAGGGTCAGTGGATGGTCAGTGGGCAGATGGTCAGGGACGAGGACTGAGGGCCCAGTGGCCCACTTGGCCTCTTGAGCAAGAGTACGGCAACGTTCACCAATGGCACCATCCTTTTTTTAAATTTTTTTTGTGCCAGTAGCAGGGCCTCGCACCGTCACTTGGAATTTTTAGCTCAAGGCTGGCACTGTACCACTTGAACCACACCTTCACTTCCCAGTTGGTTTGGCCAAAGGGGTTGATGAGCAAAACTCAAAGAAAGGAAGTAAGCAGGTAGCAGTGCATGCTCACCCCAACCTCCATGGCTCTGGCAGCCTGAGAAAAATGCTAAATGCTTCCAAACACCTGACTGGGTGCTGAGCTGAGCCGAGCACGGTTTCCACCAGCTTGCCTTTTCTTTTCCTTCAGATGACCACGAAATTAGGATTTTTTTTCTTTATTTCTATTCCCCCCCCTTCCCCGCTGCTTGCCGGTCATAACATATTGTGCAATACTTCAAATGTGCTTGTGGCTGAGGCTTGCTTTACCACGAAGGGGCCTTGTTGAAGAGGAATAGCTTCCTGTGAATCCCTGGGTGCCCACGACCTGCTTCTTTAGTGACATTGCAGCTTGAATGAATATCGAGGCCGCCAAAGGAATGTGCTGAGCATTTTGAGCACATTGAAGTCCAAGCTTGAGTGGCCATGCCTGTGGCTGAGACAAGCAATCAAGTAAATTGACGCGTAGACTGCCTAGCCCTTGTCCTCCATCTTCTCTTCTCCACGCTGGCTCACCTGTACCCGCAGGGCCGTCTCCACCTGTTAGGCCTTCCTGTGTCATGGGCCCTGGAGGGCCCGTTTCTGTGTGACATTGCTCCGCATGCCGTACGCTTCCAGTTTAAGGAAGATGGCATGCCAGCCAGAGAAAATGATATTGCCATCCCACAGAACCTGCTGTTGACAATCGCACAATGGGATCTTTGTGACAGGACCCCGCCGCAGGCAGGGGGATGCCCTTTGCCCTTTCCAGCCAGGGACGGGTGGGCAGAGCCTCTGACAAGCCGACTGGGCTCATCTAGACTAGCCGAGGGCTCCTTGGGAAAACACTGGCCTCCGGGACCCTGGGGTTATCAGAACTGCTAGGCTTCCACAGTGTCCGGGAAGTGGGTAGAAGAGTTACCTGGTTTTACAAAGGGGGACACAGAAGCCGGAAGGAAGGACACAGCCTGCCGCATTCAGTCTGTTGGTGTGGCCCCGGCCCTACCCCCTCCTCCCTGTGCCACGTTGGCCGCCTCTGTTCTCTGGGACAAGTTGTCCCAGAGGTGGGCTTGCTGCTTTAGCATCCCACTCCCCGCTGCCCTGTTACAGAATATTCTGGAGCTCCGCTGTATCTGCAGGACCAGACAGGAGGCTACCCTGTGCAGGTCCCTGCCTGAGCAGGTGTGCCAGGGTGCCACCTGGGTGTGCGCATGCACACTTTTGCTCCCTGGGTCCCAGCCAGCCTGTGGAAGGAGGGAGTCTTCTGGAAGGGCTGGTGTTGTGTGTATGTGTTGTACTCAGGAGCTTGCCTCGAGCCCTGGAGGCTGATGGAAGGGTGACCATCCCTTGCTGAGGACAGAGACTCCTCTCTTCTTCCCTGGAGTCTAAGCCTGCAGCGGAACAATTTTGCGATGTAGCTGAGGGAGCCCATGTCTGGTCCTTCCATGACATGGCATTTAGCCCAGTGATACGCTGACTGATTTTGAGTCCCTGCTGTGAGGCAGATCCTGTAGGACCCTGGGTGTCGGTTGGGGTTGGTTCCAGGATCACCAAGGATTGTAGAAGCATACATGCTTAAGTCCCTCATGTAAAATGGCAGGTCATTTGCATATAGCCCACGCATCCCCTCCCATCCATATACTTTAAATTACCTCTTGATTATTCATGTCTAATACAATGTAAATGCTATGCAAATAGTTGTTCCCTATATTGTTTAGGGAATCACGACGAGGAAAAGGATCCAGACATGTATTGTGCAATTAAAAATGTTATGTATTTGGCAGTACTCAGAGCCTTGTGCTAGCTATGCAAGTTGCTCTACGAATCACATCTAAAGCCCTTTTTGGCTTTAGTTATTTGTTGACTAAAGTTTCCTGTTTTTGCCTGGGGTGGGCCTCTGACAGTAATCCTTCTACTCAGGCCTCTTAAGTAGTTGGGTTAACAGGTGTATGCAACTACACTTGGCTTGTTTGTTGAGATGGGGCTCTAGGCAGAAATGCCACACTCTTGCTAGTCCTTGCAGTCAAGGAGCTTGCCCTCAGGGTAGCGGCTATTGCTGGAGAAGTCACGTGGTCTCAGCTCTCTGGCGAACTCAGCCACCCTTCCCAGAAACCCTTGGGTGTTGCCCAGCTCTCGGTGATCCTTGCCAGTGGAGGCAAGAGGTTTGGGAGAAAAGAGGAGGCTTCCTGAGGGGATGTGGCTCAGGAAGGCCGCTGTGGGACATCCGCTGCTTGTCATTTTTTCAACCATGTGGCATGTGGGTTTGCTCCCTGCTGGTGACGAGCACACATGTGTGAACACACACGCAGCGTAATATGAACATGTCTGTAATTGATACTTTGATTATTCCCTTCACAGCACTCATTGGACTAGGGTTAGAAAGTATTCACAAAAACACTCGGCCACATCAGACTGAAGTTCCAAAGTCCGGGATGGGAGCCGTCGCCACGACTCTGCCTGTGGTCTGGCGATGGGAAGCCGCGTTCTCCGCTGGGCTTTGGAGCGGGTGCCTTGCGCTCCGCCCCTGTCTCCCCAGACCCTTCATGGGGGAGATCACACGCGTCACGCAAGGACAGGATGCCTTCGGAAAGCTGATGCCACGAGGCGGGGCCTGCTCAGGTGTCACTGTGCACATCTCAGCCCTGAGTGCTGGGCTGGCAGCTGCTGGGTACTCCCTGGCGGGGTTTTTGGGCAGGTTACCTGATCCTTGGTGCTGAGCAGAGTAGAGAAGAGGTTAAAGAAGGACACATCCAGCCAGGCATCAGTGACTCACGCCTGTAATCCTAGCTACTCAGGAGCCCGAGATCTGAGGATCACGGTTTGAAGTCAGTCTGGGTAGGAAAATGTGAGACTCTTATCTCCAATGAACCACCAAGGGTTGCAAAAAAAGGGCTCAGGGACAGCCCCCAGGCCCTGATTCAATTCCCAGGATGGGCACCAGAAAGCAAGAAGGAAGCGTCCTGAGAATAGCACA